GTTAATAGTTTGATGTTCGAAACTGGAAATAAGCTTTGGTCTTTTTTGAAATATTAGAACTATAGGACTTATGCTCGATGAATAATACAAGTTCTAATTGTTCTTCTATTTTCAGTTATTTCACTATTTGGTTTTTTCTCAGATCTTTCTATCTTTTGAGGCTTGTGAAGCTTAATTTCAATAACTGTCTTCTCACATAGTCTTTTTATATTTAATCTACTTAGATTCCTAAACATAAAATTCCTTCTAAAGTAGTTTATATTGCATAGAAATGCTGAAACAGTTATAATCAATAACTGGACTTTGCAAAGTCTTTCTAATTTTCTACATAAGGCATTGTGGAGGAAGTTCTAATCATAACTTTTCTCACAAGGCATTTTCGTCCACGAATTCAGATTTTTTTTTGTATTTTAGTTTAAATTTTTATTTTTTGAAAATCCATTTCCCCCTCTGGGTTTGGCCATAAACGTACCACATCTTTATCCATCTTACATAGATGAATCTCAAAAGATACCTGAGAGCCTTTACTCTTCATTTCTTCAGTCTTTTTCCTTTTTCTTTGGGTGTTGAATACCCATTTCGAGGCCTGTTATGAGGGAAACCTTAATTAACCAGGGGGTTTCTGTGCGCTTGTCGCCTGCCCAGTCTGCAGCCACTATTGTGGCGTGTGCAACAAAAATGGCTCACGACCTTTCACACAATCACACCCTGTTTGTGCTTTTAAGTCCTGAAATTCCTGATCCGGAAGGGCATATGGTGCGTGCCCACACCTCCTATGGCATCTAGGCTCTTTAATTCAGAGATTCAGAACATCAATAATCAATAAAATGGCCCCCCCTCGATTCGGGATATCCTGCGAATTCCAAACCTTAAATGGTCTTGGATGCGTTCTCGTCCATAAACGATCAAATAAGATTAATAAACAAGTTGAGAAAGTATATGTACGTCATCATTCCATGATAACATCAAGGCCATAATTCTAACTTATGAAAACCTTTAAATTATTCTTTTAATTCATGTTCTTTTAACTTTAAGCACTTTTTTTATTCTATCTTTTAAATTTATGGCCTTTAACTTAAGTACTTATGAATATTATTAACTAATGCCTTCATTTATTAGTTTTTGTAATTAAACAGTGCATCATTTAATACATTTGTGAATGAATTTGAATGGCTAAAATGGGGGCTGATGTATGATTGATCTGTGAATAATGTTATATTGTGTTTTTATGTATGGATTTTTAATTTGCTTTGCTTTTAATGTATATTATGGCAAAATGTAAGAGACCTTAAATGGTCTCATTTGTTTGCTTTGTAATTAATTAAGGGATGGGAAATTTGGAGGGATTGATGGTAAATGTAATTTTAAAAAGATTTAGTTTGTACCCTTCTCTCCTCGCTTCTTTCGATTTTATGTAATTTGTGTTGTAATATTTTGCATGATTCAATATTTTTTCACACATTGCATCAAAAGATTTTACACCTCCAAATTATTAATGGTAATGAGTAATTGTGAATTAATGGATAACCGAGATGGCTGATTTAATCGGGCAATAATGGGTGTCTAACACCTTCCTATATTCGTACCTAACTTCCAGACTCTCTCTCTATTATTATTGGAACTGAGTTCGTGATTCCAAAATAATTGAGAAATTTTCCCATAATAAATATGGCGACTCCTAAAATAGAGAGAGCTCTTACCAAAGTAAGAGCATTTTCCCGAGGATCAATTAAATGGTTAAATATAAGAAAACTGATTTTATAAATAAAATCAATCACAGTCCGATTGATTCTTTCCTTTCTTTGAAAAAATCAAATAAGAAAAATTCTATATCCCTCTCTCTACTCTCTATCTCTTCTCTTTTTCTCTCGTCTTCGTTGGGTTTTTTTTGTTCGTCTGGTCTCTCTCTCTTTCGTCTTCTTCTCTGTGCGCTTTGCGTTTTCTCTGCTCTTACTTATCTAGGGTACGTTCACTCTACTCATGCTTGGCCTCACACGTATCTCAATACTATTATAGAAGTTTTGTGATTTGAGAGCAAATAGTAATTAATATTTTGATGCCATTATCTCTCTTTTAAAGAATTTGGAGTATTAAGAAGATGAAGTTAAGAAGAATAATATGGTTTGAGCAACTTGCTCGACCAATATATCTATAAAAGACCTTATGGTAATCATTGAGTGAATTGATGCTTTGTTAATGAGTTGATAAATTTAATATTCCAACTGATTTTGTCTAAGAATACCTTTTTAAACTAATTATAATTTTAGTTATAAAATATCTCTTATTATCAATCTACTTGCCATCCGAAAGTGGATTGAATCGATAAATGTAAAAAAATCAAAAGTGGAGACAACGAAATATACTATAAATTAAAAAATAAGAAATAGTGAGAAATACAATTTGTAATTATTATTGATGATAATCATATATATATATAATACTAGAATAATATAGATAAATCACCACACATTCAAACACACATAATGAACCCTAATAGAAAAATAGAGTCCTATATCAAACTAAAAGATAGATCTCCAACCTTACAATTTTAAATATAAGGACTGTCTAACTGGATATATGACATCCATTAATTCAAAGGCAGACCTTCTCTTTATTATTTAACAAATTTTTTGAGAGATTATTTATTTTAGCTAGCATTGAATGGATGTGTATTTAAAAATTTATTTTTTAATACTTAAATAGATATTAAGATTTCGAATTTTTCTATATCTATTTTATCTAATATCTAAATTGCAGTATATACAGACACAAACGATCATAATTAACTGCTCCTATTTACTTATTTTTTTTCTATGAGATACAATCTTTTTTATTGAAATTTTGGTTATCTAAATTTCTTTTAGTTTTATTTGAATTTATTTTGACTGATAAATTACTTTGTGGTTCTCCATGAGTTGATGTAAAAATAGGAAGAATCCATATTTGTATTCTCCTCCGTCCCATTCCTCTTAAATTTCTCTTAGATTATTGGACATATACCGGCCTTGAAAATTTCTCTAAAATTCTTTAACAAACAAAGTTTCAAAATGAAAATCTAAATATATTTGTAAGTTATTAAAAAATTAATATAAAAACTGCAGCATATTAACACACTGCACAATATAGAATCAAATAAGAAACAAAATGGAATGAAAAAATATTTTGGGCACTGTTTTTTTCATAACATTTTCATCTTATTTACAAATTAGAAGTTCTGACAAAATCTAATTAAAAGTAATAATAATACACTTATTTAATTAATATAAATAGTACGTAAACCACAGTTTATATGCCAACTAAGTGTCTGTTTGGGTAATATTACTGTTTTAACGGCTGTTAGGCTATGTAGAGTTGAGTTTTATTATTGTTGGGTTAACTTTAGGCTAATAATGATTATATAGGCGGTTTAAGTTAGAAGTGTTTAATAAAAAAATATTAATTAATTAGGCACTGTTTAAACGTAAAAGAGATAAGCAAAAGGATATTAGTAGTGTACTTAACTATATTAACATGAAATGAATAAAAAAAGATATAAAGCTTAAATTAACATGAATTTACAGAAAAAAAATAAATGATATATTGTCAAAAAAAGAAAATAAATAAAAGACTAATGAATTAACGCTAAATAGGTAAACATTATAGTATTTAATGTTCATAAAAGTATTCTTTAAACCTAAAAGCTATCTAAAAAATAAGCTAACGTTAATAAAAATAACATAAACCACTCAAAACTATAAATTAACGAAATAGTAGCTAAGTGTATAGTTGTTCTCTCAGTCTTGTAAAAAAGGGGAAGGGAGAGTGCTCTCGAGTTAAATAAAAAATTATCACAATCTAGTGAGAGACTAATGAGAAAACTAACGTTTCCTATTAAGAAAATAATAATTAATTGAGCTAAATGGCATTTTATTATTTAATATATTTTTATATGTCTATTTAAATAACAAACAATATAAATGAATATAAATAAGTAATACTTAAGGGCGAGGGTTATTGAAAATAATGCTAAAAATTTAATAAAGAATAAAAAATTAAAAATAACTATAATGAAAAAAGAAAAGGATTATATTTTGATAAAACCAAAAAAAAATTAATTATATTTTGGAATTATAAAAAAGGGCTAATTTATACACCATTTTTTAGATAACCGCTCGTGTTTCTAGAAGCCTCTTAGTTAGAAGCAAAAATAAGAAAAACAACTCGGCCCCAATTGACGCACCAATACAGATAAAGAATACCACATCAAGAAGAAGCAATAAATTCAATCACCAAACTCAACTATGATAAAAAGAAGAAACCTACAAAATCAAGAAATTGATTTAGGCATGGGACGACTAGGCATTGGGAAAGAAAGTCAATGAATTCAACGGTTCGACCGTGAATTTCTCATCTTCTATATCGAAACTCTTGCTGGCCGAGGTTAGATAGCAAGCAACGGATAATGGCCGGAGAAAGGTTAAGGCAGTCTGAAACTCTCACTGCTGTACCCATTCCGTCCAAGAATTGCTAAAGAGCCTTTGTTTCCTGTCACTCAGTAGGACAGACTACGCCCTGACAAAAACCATATCCATCGTTTCTGGCTAAGAAAGAATGGTCATATACCTATATTCCACTTATCTCTGACATGACCAATTAACAACCAATGTACAAGAAAATCCTATAGGATTCTGAATTGGCTAAAGCACTCCATTCTGCTTCACAGAATGGGGGCTGTCTTTCAGGTACTCTATTTTTCTTTTCTATTAGTACATCAAAGAAGAACCCAGTGACATATTGTATAAAAACCCGGAAAAAAAAAAAAAAAAAAAAAAAAAAGTTTAAACCTCAGATAAGTGGTTAGAGGAATTTTGAAGCATTATATTTTCAAAAATCAGTTTAGTCTTGATTGGTAATTAATTCCATCTTAGAACATGTCAAGCAAAAAGAATCAGAAGAGTCCAAACAGATCACTAAAAAATCCACCTGAAGCCCGCACTCTCATGAAACTGACGCTATAGAAGAATAAGGAGTGAGGACCCCAAACAAATCCATAAATCAAATCACATTTCGCCACGTCATAAAGTCCTAGTGGGCCCCAATAAATACAGACCAAAACCCTCAAATGCTCTCTTTTCCTTTACTGCTACTATACAAAACCTGCCAGTGCAAATCCAGTCACTCTGCCAAATTCCAAACAAGAGTTACAAAACCCATTTGAGTATATCTTATAAACATTTCATTTCATATATAAAATTAGAAAATAGATTGATAAACCTCTGCTCTTCTTTGATAATTATTATCTCCATGTATGCATATTTGATATTTCCATATTCATAGATCTTTCAAATATATTTTAATTTTAATTCTTTTCTGGATTTCTTGATTTCTTGTTGTTTTTCTTTTTCTTTTTGGTGAAGGGTTTTGATTTCTAGTCATGTATGCACGAAATATTAGAATTGTTAATTTATTAGTAATTTCTTTCTTTTAGTTTGAGTTCAAAGTGTTTTTTTTTTTTTTTTTGAGTTTCAAAAGTGTTTTTTTTTTTTTTTTGTGTGTGTGTGGTGTGTGGTGTGTTTGTGGTTTTTAATTTATACGAATGAGGATGTTCAACAAGTTTCCAGAAATTTTTAAAATTTTTTTTTGGTTTAAACTAATTCTCAAAATATATGAATCTCAAAAAAATAATATATATAATTTAATTAATTCATTACAGTTGAAATGTATGGATCATCGAGGGAGAAAGCCATTGATCAGAGGAAGATTTGATAAACCATTGATTGAAGGAATTGTGGGGTTATCAGATCCTGTAATGGGGCTGTTCATCAAAAAATGGTGGTGGGTGGAAATTCAAGAGATATTTAAGCAATTAATAAATTCTCTATATGTAAAAACAATGTTTATTAAAACATTTTTACATATTTTTTTATGCTAATTGAGGAAGTTTTTTAGCGCTTTCATTTTTCACTAAAAAATTTTTTTTTTTTTTTTGTGTGTGTGTGTGTGTGTGTGTTGTGTTTTTATTTATACGAATGAGGATGTTCAAAGTTTCCAGAAATTAATTTTTGTTTAACCTAATTACTCAAAATATCATGAACTAAAAATATATATATATTTATTAATTCATTACAGTTGAAAATGTCTGGATCATCGAGGGAAAGCCATTGTCAGAGGAGAAGAATTGATAACATTGATGAAGGAATTGTGGGTTATCAGATCTGTAATGGGGCTGCATCAAGAAATGGTGGTGGTGGAATCAGAGATATGTAAGCAATTAATAATTCTCTATATGTAAAACAAATGTTTATTAAACATTTTTACATATTTTTTTTATGCTAATGAGGAGTTTTTGCGCTTTCATTTTTCTAAAGTATGATCAGTTCTGTGGAAGGGTTAGCTGATGAAGGTGAAGAGATGGAGAATAGAGGAGAATTAGGGTTAGAGCCTGAAATAAATCCACAGGTAATTAACCTTAATTACAAGATATGAAATGTTTCTTATAGTTTGTAAGATCTTGTGATTGTTAATTAATTTTCATTTCTTGAAGAAGCATTGACTATCAGAAACCCTAAAACCAGCAATTCCATTTTTTCTACTGCCTCTAGATTCAATTATTAGCTTGATTTTGTGATTTTATGCTTTTTTTTTTTTCAAATTACAGGCTGATTATATAATTCCAAATAATGAAGAAAATCCCTTCCCTTCACCAACTTCTTCTCAATCTCCACAACATTCTCCTCAAAGTGTAGTTGACTCAGTATCATCTTCAAGCATGCCTGTAGAAATTAACCGAGCAAGCGATCTTTTAATGGCGGTATCACTTGCTGCTGAGCCAAACAAGATTAAAATTAGTGAGCTTGCTAATTCAGCCATGGAAGAGCTGGTAAGAAAGGCTTTTGGTGGAGATTTGTTATGGCAACGACAAGTAGATAGCGATATTGAGAGACTAAATGAAGCTGAATATATAAGGGAATTTCGCGCATTTGATGCAAGTCTTGAAGAGATAATGAGAATGATCGAAGTGGGTGATCCTCAATGTTTTGCAACCCTAGATGGAAATTACGATTTTACTTGTGCATTTCAACAAAAACCTACATTACCGCGAGAAATTGAACCGGGTGCTCTTCAAACTGAAGCTTCAAGAGAAGTAGGGTTTGTGAAAATGAATGCTACTAGTATTGTTGAATGGCTAATGGATTTGGTAGGTTCTTTTTTAAATACTATTTGAATAAAGTTGATATACTTGTAATGTGAAAATATATTTATTGAATATTCTTGTTTTTTCTTGATTGTTTGAATACTGTGTTTTGATGATTAAACAGAATCAATGGTCATTAGCATTTTCTAAGATTGTCTCAAGAGCAACCATACTTGGAGTTTTATCAACAGGAATGTCTGGAAGCTATGATGAGACATTACAAGTGGTAAACTACACTATTTTGATAATGATATATGTTGCCTTTCATTATTAATACATCAAATGAATATATAGATTACAAGAAGAGATCAATCTTATGTAAGTTGAGATTTTTGAGGTTTTTTTACTTAACATTTACGAGTTAGGTTGGGTGTATTTGGGGGTTCGGATTTAAAAACTTAAAAATGTTAAGTTTTTCTTAAATATAAATTAATAAAATAAACATATATGCTGATAAAAAAAAATATAGATTTCATTCAAGAAAAAATTTATTTTCTTACCACATAAATTTATAAGAGTGAAGTTATTGCATTACTCTTTAAATGAAGTAGAATTTAGATAGTGTTGTTTGATTATGTTCTTCTTTAAATCTATTCTTATGTAAAATTTCTCTTTTAAGTCATTTGGTTAGTAGCCCAAATAATTATGTATTTTCCTCATAAAATACGAGATAAGTAATTTAATTAAATTCTGATAGATTTTTCTCTTTTTAAAGTTCTCGATATATAAAAAGAAGTTTTCATTCTAAATTTGATATATATATATGAGAAAAAGAAGTCTCCATTCTAAATTATTATTGATTCCAAAAATATTTAGTTTCATCATTCAATGAAATATGTGAGAGCAAGAGATAGAACATCTTATATTTGAGTAAGGAAACTTTTTTTTTCCATTTAAATAAATGCATATATCTTCTTGTATAAATGCATATAATTCTTTCAGATGAGAGCAGAATTTCAAGTGCCTACACCACTCGTTCCTATTCGAGAGTGTCAATTTGCAAGGTACTGTAAGCAAGTAGGGTCTAGCACATGGGGAGTAGTCGATGTATCATTGGAAGATTTATTCCCTTATCCAATATTAAAATTTAGAAGAAGGCCTTCAGGTTGTCTGATCGAAGAAATGTCGGATGGGAATTCTAAGGTGAGACCTTTTAATAATATTATATTTAACTAAGTCTTGTTTGTTTAATTATGTTTAATTAATATTAATTGTTGCTATATATAGGTTACTTGGGTTGAACATGTTGAAGTGGATAATACACTTGTTCATAGAATATTTCAGCCACTAGTTCTATCTGGTATTGCATTTAGTGCAAGAAGATGGGTTGCCACTCTAATTCAACATTGTGAATGGGTTGCTACTGTAATGTGTCGAAATGTTCCTCTCCCAAATGGAGGTAAAACTATTACTCTTAAATACTTTAAAATAATTAAATTTTGGCGTATCGGTTCAGTTAGGACATGAATATCATCTCTAAAACTTACAAATATGGAATGTTTCGTGCATTGAATCACCTTTTATTTAAAATTTGAGATAAAATTTAATCTTTTATGTTGCACGAATCATATATGTTGTGATACATGACATTTGTTATATTGTTTATGATATTGCAATACAGGATTAAAAAGCCAAACTGGGAAAGAAAGGTTGTTAAGGCTAACAGAAAGAATGATGAGAAGCTTTTGTGTAGACATTAGTGCTTCTACTAGTAATTTTTGGATGCCATTACCTATAAGTAGAGCAGAAGATTTTAGGGTTATGACCAAAACCATTACTCCTTCTCCTGCTTCTCCTACTACCTCAATAGCCTTCGCATCTTCTCTATGGCTTCCAGCTCCACCAAGGAGCATATTTAACTTTCTCCGTCGCAGCGATTCAAGAAATAAGGTAACTAATTAAAATCTTTATTAATGGAACATATGCATTTCAATTTCAATTTGGTGCACTACATAAATGTTCAATTTGGTGCATTACATAAATGTTTTCCTTTGCAGTGGGATTTGCTTTCTCGTGAGCTTGTAATTCGAGAACTTACATACATAATCAAAGGAGACAATCCAGAAAACCGAATCTCAATCTTGCAAGCAAATGTAAGTAGTAATTAAATACAATTTCCTATAAATTATGCTTAATTAATTAATTAACATGCATTAACACACGAACTACTACTTAATTAATTATTTTGCAGTCTGATCCAAACCGGATTGAAATATTATACTTGCAAGAAAGCTACAGTGACCCAACCGGTTTCTACATTGTTTATGCACCAATGGACGTTATTTCCATGGCTACATTAGTAGATGGAGGAAATCCAGATTATGTGAATATTTTACCATCTGGGTTTGTTATACATCCAAGTCATAAGCCAATTACGAGTAATTATAATGGACATGGACATCAAGTTGATGGAAGTGTTCTTACGCTATTTTTTCATATTCTTGATGGTTGTTCAACAGAAGATAGCATATATATTCCTCGGGAATCTCTTGATACTGTTCACAGAATCCTAACAGAAACTTCTGTTTTGATTAAGGATGCTGTTGTATCTGGTGATAATCCGTAGAACTATGTTTTGGTCATTTTTAATCTTCTTTTGCCCCTGGTAAGTCTCTTATCCCTCATTATTTTCAATAGCTAATGAGTTTTGATTCGCTAGAAATAAAATCAAATTCAGAATTGAGAAGTTGCATTTATTTCCGAATTTGTGCCTAATTAACCAGAATTTTTCTAGGGTAGGGTTTAGCATGATATGCAGAAGGCGTGGTTAGGGTTTGCAAAAGTTTTCCTAGATAAACTGTATAATGAGTTATGAATTACTGACATTTTAGTTTTAGATCATACACATTTAAATCAGACATGACACCACAAACACTATTATTCTTATAAAAATTAAAACATAATGCTAAACTTTGTTGAACAAATATTGGACATTAAATGATTTATGAAAGTGTTCGATACTGCATAGTTTTATAAAGAAAACTTTAGGTTACTGAGGTTTCCATACCTAAAATGTGAAAAGATTTACATGCAATTGGTAATTAAGATGTCAAGTTAAACTGTAAATTTTGTCAATCTTAATTACTACTGTTTTTCTCTTGTTATTACAGTAAGAAAGCAAATGAAAGATGGAGCAGGAAGTGTAAATGACACAGTGTACTGATGAATGAAAAATCTTTTGGAAGACAGATTAGGGTTTTAAATGCCCTAAAGAAAACAGTAACAAAGACAAAATAATAAGAGGTTGTAAATATAGATATTCTCAAACAACTTTAAAACCCTGGTGGTGTTTGTGTATTTAAATGTAGTAATTAATTTAATAATGTTGTCTAATTCTAGCTGTTGTACTTTGAAGACGAGCTGGTTATAACTGATAAGGCGAACGTTGAATTAGCAAATTTAAGGAAAAAAAAATTAGAAAGGATATTGAAAAATTTTCAAATGCACCAGCCGGGAATCGAACCCGGGTCTGTACCGTGGCAGGGTACTATTCTACCACTAGACCACTGGTGCCTGTTGGGAAGTCGCTTCATTGTAGCACTATAGAAATATTAAGCTCCATTAGGTAATACTTTGCAAAATATTAATATTTTTCATTTATGAGATCATTTATTTCACATTTACAGAAATTTTATATTTTAAAATTTTATTATCTAATATTAAAATTTTATTATCTAATATGAAAAGTGATACACTTTTCATCGTCCTAAATTATCGGTGACTATAACTGACAAGTGAATTAATAAATGTATTTTTTTCAAGGTTATAACAAGTTTGTTTATAGTCAAAAAAAAAAAAAAAAATTAAAATTTTCAATGCACCAGCCGGCGAATCGAAACCCGGGTCTGTACCGTGCAGGGTACTATTTCTACAGCCACTAGACCACTGGTGCCCTGTTTGGGAAGTCGCCTCATTGTAGCACTATAAGAAATATTATAAGCTCCATTAGGTAATACTTTGCAAAAAATATTAAATATTTTTTTCAATTTATGAGATTCATTTTATTTCAACATTTACAGAATAATTTTAATATTTTAAAATTTTATTATCTAAATATAAAAATTTTTTTATTATCTAATATGAAAAGTGATACACTTTTCAATCGTCCTAGTTAATTAATCGGTGACTAAAACTGACAAGTGAATGTATAAATGTATTTTTTTCAAGGTTATAAAAACCAAAGTTTGTTTTATAGTCAATAAAAAAAAAAAAAAAAAAAAAATAAATTCCCTCTTTTGAAATGAAAGCCTTAAAAAAAAAAAACCAATTTAATTTTTCTTGACCTAGAAAAATAATTTTTTGTTTGATAGATTAATTTAATTGAGCACCGCACTAAGTTAAAAAAAACATTAAAAAAAATCTAAAAAATATTTGTCAAAAAAATTAAAAAAAAAAAAAAAAAAATTCCTCTTTTGAAAATGAAAAGCCTTTTAAAAAAAACAATTTAATTTTTCCTTTGACTAGAAAAATATTTTTTGTTGATAGATTATTTTGAGCACCCTAAACATTAAAAAAATCTAAAAATATTTGTCAAAAAAATTATTTTTCGAAAATAAACTGGACCTTCAAAAATGATTTTAAAATTTTTTGGCAATTGACTTGATATAAGAATACAACATAAGAGGCATTAAAAATGGATTTACTACATCCAATCCAACCGCTGGATTTTTAATAATTTTAAAACATATCATCGAGTCCGTGATTATATGCGAATGAACGATTGTTAATGAAGTCAATATCAGTCGGAATAGTCAAAAGATTAACAGGTCTGTAAATAGCCCTTATAATATGGAACTCTTTGCTTATTCAAAGTATGATATGATATGTAACGCAAAACAAATGGAAATATACATTATTCAGTTCCATGACAAAAGAACTATCTTCATCCTCTTTCTAGGAGACAAAGAATAAGAAATAACAAACATTTTCTAATGCTAGAATTTGAATTAAGTTATTAAAAAAAGAAAAATAAAACATGCATTCTATTTTGAACAAGGAGCCATCATCTTTTTGGAAGGACATCTGCAAAGGAAAAATCGTGGAAAGGTGGACCTGCAACAAGAATGAATATTTATCAGAAACAATTTGTTATGTATATATCAAATTTCAGACTTCTAACCTTCCTGTTGGCCAAGAATGTAAAATGGAATGTGTGCAATCATCTTTGTGCCTCCTTCACTCCAGTTAACGGTGCCAGGCTTCTGCATGTGTCCATGTGGAGGTCTTGAAGTCCCAAAAATGGATAAACTAATAGCAGGTTCACTCAATAATCCCAAATAATCACGAGCACGCCTCCAGACTCTTGAATCCGAGATTCGAGATCGAGCTACCTGGGGATGTAAATCCAGTTACTATGATATTTGACAACAGGAAAGTTTTAGCAAAGATTCTATCAAAAATTTTAAACAGACCTTCCCCAAGGATACACGTGCCCTTGGTAACAATTCACGGTGACAAGTGGCAAGTTTTGTAATAGCTGTTACAACAAAACATAGAAGCCTTGATTGTGACAACTTTCTGGAATTTTCACCATTAGAGCTAAGAGCCGACTCCCTGAGGCCGAGGCGACTGACCAAATGCATGAGGAAAAATAAAATCAGCAAACGATAGCCAATTGTATAGCAAAACCTTAAGAGGTAATACAGAAAGCACAATTGAAAATCATACCTAGATGATAGGTTTTCATACAAAAGTAGCTCTAAATTCTCAAAGAGCTCGCGAGCTGCATCTTTGTGAGACTCACCACCCCCACCATGTTCCCCAATGGCCCAGCACAACTGCAATGCCAATTCTGTCTACGAAGAATACATATAAAGTGAAGATTTATCAAAATAAGATTACGGTATCTATTCCTTGGAAAGGAAAGCCTAAGGTGATTTTTCTTAAATACAACTTTAGTCAGCTAACCTTTGCAGGGCTGTCATAAGCTTCCCCAAGCCTGTCCATTATAGGTTTCTGCAAAAATGCAATAAAAAGATTCTCAGAAAAAAAAAAAAAAAAAAATTCTATAGAGAAATATTAACATGAGGCTATAGAAATGGTGGTAAGTGAAACCCATAATCAATAAATTATTCCTTCCTTTAAAAGTAGACAAGGCTTATAATAACTCTGAAAAAGCCAATCAAGCAACATTATCTGTTTGGCTTCTCACGGAAGATCTCTAAACATTAAGATTTTGTTGGAAACGAAGTTGTAGCATGAAAAGAGAACTCCAATACTAAAAATGACACCGAAGTAAAATTTGTCATTCCAGAGGTACTTCCGAGTTTTATATCATCTGAAACAGAAACGTTTCATTTTGTGGAGCCCTATGGAGACACCATGTAAAATGCCCACTTTGACACTGCTAATTGTACCAAAATAGCTATTCCATTATACACAACGTAAGGTCTTTGTGACTGACCTTCCATGGACTATTAATTGATGCCCAAAGGTTATTACTTCAAAAACAACAAAACTAACATTATGCACACAAGTAGATGTTGTCAAAATAAAACCTTCAAGAGAGCAATAAAATTTGGGGATCGTTGAAATGCAGAAAGCATGAACTCCAAAAGCCTCTTGCGGACCTGCAATCAAATAATAACTGAGAAGCATAAGTCACCATGATCCAAACATTTTGCTGCAGTAATGGATTCAGCATGGAAACATGAAAAGAAAAAATGAGTATTACAAATCAAAGTGCAGTTCCACAAGAAAACGTCCAAAAGAAAACTTTAATTATTGTCAAATATAAATGCACCTCATAAGTGAATCTTTTTTCTGGGAAAATTGTGTCGTTTCTGGACATAATTAGAGGAATCAATGCGCAGATTAAAGCTGCAAAGAACGGAACAATTTCAGTATGGGCATCAACTTAGAAGGCAAATGGATAGTCCATTTTTAATTAGAAAAGAACATGCGTTCTGCAGCAAATTATAATGCCACAGAATATTAATATGATGATATTGAGCAAAGAAAACTCAGGAAAGATGTAAACGTACAATCATTAACCTCATGTGAAGCTATAGCAAAATACATGTCAAGGAGCTGTGGGGTTATTTTGAGTATTTGCTTTAGCCTATCAGACTGAGGACTATTGACTGTAGCCTGCAAAATTGCAGCCATCCCGGGAGAAGTCCAGTGCCGCTCCTGAAACACAAAATTTATTAAAAATTGAAGATTGACATGCCCAAAAAGCATGTCCGATAATAACTGTAAGATCTTTATCAAGGATTGATTAATTGTATAGTTTTCAAAACATAAATACTTTCAACTTCGAATTTCACAGAAAAAGAACTACATGCTAAAAAAAGACAGATAAAGCAAATCAAAATCTAAATTCCTTCAAAGGAAAGGAAATGAGTAAAACTCAGGAAAGTGCTCCTCTTTTTAATAGGGGTAGCAACAAAGAGAAAACTTAGATAAAATAGAAAGAAAGGAGAAAAAAAGGTGGAGTATAAGATGCTCTTCACAGAGAGAACAAGAAAAAAAAACTGAAGAAAAAAAAAAGACCCTCTTATCTTCTTGTATACTAGCAAAAAATACACAGAGAGACCAAATGACAGCTATAGAGAGTCTAGCAATATATTTCCTCAAAAAGAATCACTTCTCCCTTCTATTTAGCAGTGACAGTTTGACTGAGCATTCTAGAATTGGCATTTATCCATTGGCAAGATAAAAATGAGATAGGAGCCACAAGGGACCATACAGCAAGCCCATCATTTTCATCCTTCAAAATTTCAAGAAACACAGTATCAGCTACATCTATTCTGCTGCTATCCTCAGATTCAGAATCTGCCCCACCATCTCCTATGGTTGAACCGGTATAAGCTTCATCCATGAGTGCAAGTAGCATCTGCATCCAGATATAATTGATTATCCACAGGTGTACAACCTGCTTTTGCTTCAAATTCAAGTAGTCATAAAAATAACCTCAGGAGCTGTACTCTTCTGGATCAAGGCTATGCTGTTTCCAATAAGTGGTCCTGAGCTGCGTTCTACCTTTTCTAGTGCCACTACCAAAACTAGTACAGACATAACGATAAATGTCAAATTTCACATAACTAATTTAAGACGAAATCGAATAAAATCAGATCACTAAATACGATACTTAAGCACATTCAATTATCTAGATCAAACAATTTCACTGAAATAACTGCCATAGAAAAGAAAAGGATGCTGATTTCAGAAATCACACTTGAAAACTTGTTCTTTTAACAGAAGAGAGAGAGAGAGAGAGAGAGAGAGAGAGAGATTTTGAGGGAGAAGTTACACTACAACCACAAGAACTACCTACAGCTGGTTCTATATATGCAGGCAAATATAGATACATAAAGATAATGAGAAATTAAACCCTACTCAATGGAATCTTATAGACACTTTTAAACAGGTGATAGAATAGAACCTACACAGCTCAGAAACAGATCACTTTATCAATCATATATACAAATTAGATCACATAAATGTGATAAAGCATTAAGTGAACAGAATCTTGTAGACACAAAGATAGCCAGCCAGATAAACTTACTAGGCAAATCCACTAAGGATGGAAACAATGGAAGAAATGAGCCAGGCGATATCAAGCATGGAAAAACCTTCAGAAATGCTTTTTCTAATCTGAAAACCAAACAGATAAATGACAATTAATTAGCTGATCTGCCACATAGCTGCCACTTATTTCATTTCATTAAATTCATTACCTACACTTCCTTCATATTGTATAAATTCATGCTTTATGAATGGTATCTCCTTGGGACTTTGGTTTGGCAAAAATGAGGAGTGGATGTTGCTACCTTCAGGTGAAAATTGCTATTATTAGCACTCTTTTTTTTTTTTTTCCATTTTAACAGGTGAAGAATTATGTTTTATTTATTTATAGAGTTTTGGGAACTTCTAAATTCATCTTTACTGTATTTCATGTTTTATTAACCAGCACTTCATATAAAAATCATAATTTAGTTAATATATTAACATATTTGTTTTTTAAAATTAAATAGAAGTTGATAATAAGAATTCTATCAAAAATTACAAGAAAATGCAATACTGAGAAATCTTTCCATGACTTCATGTGCAATAAATAGTTTTATTCTTTTTTTTTTTTTTTCACTCTCTTAACTATCTTACTTCAAATAAGATTTGTTAGTTCTTGTAATTTCCAGTCCATAAGTATTCCACATGCACATGTTAATGATATCTGCCTCAAATTGTGACAATCCTGAGACACTTTATCACATGCAGAATCCCTTTAGAATCCATGTAAACACTAATGCCAAACACCTCAAATGAATTACACAAAAGTGATAACTGCTATCTTGAAACTATTAGCTAAATTTGACAAGAATAGTTGCATTATAAGCTGAAATGTATCCAAGTATACAACTCAGTGAGAGCCCATAAATAGTGAAGACTGCATAGAAGCAATCATGCTTTTTAGATTAAGATTATGGTTATGAAAATTGAATTTATAGACTTTTTTTTTTTTTTTCCTAACTACATTTTTCCAATACTAAATAAAATTGTAGAGTGAGTAGAAAACTTACTTTTCTCCATTCCATGCAATCAACTTCAGCAACAAAGGAAAAAACTGCAGAACACATTGTCAAAGTTATATAAAGATATATTAGATGGCACTTTAATCTTCATAGAGCTTTCCACCCATTTATTTATTTATTTATTTTCTGAAGGTATTGGCTGTCTCAAGTCAGCTTTCTCCCGTAGTTAAATATTTAGTATTTGTATTTATTTAGAACATAATAAAACTCATCAATAGAATAACACAACAACAAGCAACTCCTTCTCTGCCCTAAAGATGTACATGGAAATTGGGAATCACATGGCTTTAATGGGACAATAACACGTGAAATATGACCAATATATTTTCAAAAAATCTAAGTATTAAAAGATAACCTATCACAATTTGATGCAGGAAAAAGAGCTGACAGAAATAAAACAAAATGCAGTCAAAATGATTTTGAAACTTCTTTCCCAAAACTAACATACTAAATCTGATACTACAATTTATTATTGTTGACAAAAGATTTTGTAGATCACATTTCATACCTGAGGCAGTAAAGTGGAGAAGGAAGTTAAGAGCTTTTTCTTGTTTGCATTCAGAAAATCAAGAGTTGCTTCTGCAACAACTGGATCTGCAAATTCACTGCAATCAACATTAGAATGAGATGCATGTATGCTGATAATCAAATTATTATATATAAATTAAAAGCACTTAAAATAAGAGAGAGATATTATATTACAAATACCTATCATCAAAGATTATTTCAATTGCATGGAATTAAAATAATGTTTTTCAAAATAACTTTAACAAATTACAGAAAGGCATGTAGTTGTAGTTATGGCCAACAACAACAGTCACAGCCAATGCTACCATGGGTTTGATTAAAATAAATAAGTAAACAATTTGCATCAAAATTAATAAGTAAATAAAGAACAAGAAGAACTTGAACCAATAGGTTAACAAATAATAAAACCAAATATGCATTTGTCATAACTCCCAATACCCGAAACTTAATCATAACCAACCTTAAACAAATATAGCAACTAATAGAGAAATTTGCATAACTTGTATCTAAAAATCCAAAAATCCACACCAAAATTTGCACATTCAGGAAAAAATACATAATAATTTCATCAATCCAACAAATAACAATTCTACTAACAAATAATAGCTGAAGAAATTAACAAAAAGTAGCTTCACAAGCAAGACTTCATGAACTACTCAAAAATTAAATTTTGTTTTCAAACAAAGCTCTGGAGGCTTGAAATAAAGGTGAGGAAATGTTTCTTGGAACAAAGAAGTTAGCTGGAGTGTGAGATAAAGAAGCTGCAGAGATAACCAGGAAGAAAGTGGGGTGGAAAAGCAAGTTTTTGTTGTACTGCCATTGTTATTACATATAACCAATATACACCATATCAGTGATATCTATTTCAAAGGTGATTGCAAAACCACCACACCATCTGGGATGGTAGTGGAGGCACACAATGTAACAGCAAAAACGTTACATGCTAATCATTGTTCAAAACACTTTAAAGGAATTCTCGTGGTCTAGATATTTAGTCATCCAGCAGAAGAACAATTTATTTATCACTTCAATTCCAGCTGTAGGTCCCTCGTTTTCTAAAGGCAACCGAACAAGTAAATGGATATAAATTATTGATCCAAACGAAAATTAAAAGCCTACACTTGATTCTTAGTAAAAGAGCCACAGAGAAGATTTCAAATATCTATCAAACAAAAACATGACTTTAACTCTACACATTTAAACAATAACCGTAAAAATATCTGCATCATTACCGGCTCAAACATGAACGGAAAAACGTCTTTAGACTGGGATCAGCATCATGAAGAACCACCTCACCAAAATCAAGAAAAAATTGAAGAATGGCCTGATTAACAACAAGAAAGAATAAAAGCCATATGACCAAACAGTTAGAGGTACCCACGTTGGTAATTGATATAAAATATGATAATAGAGATTAACGTAATCTCTCCTCTCTTTTTGTGTTACCGTGCAAGATTGAACTTTGACAAGAAAAAGGCCAGGTTGTCATTAACAAAAACAGGAAAAAGAAAAGATGTTGCAGAGAATTGCACCCAATCAGTGTGTAACAACAGAACAGATACATCCAAATAACAAGTACTTAGGTATTATTTTCTTTCAATTCTTATTATCATTCTAATTTTTCTGCTCGAGACTGTTATATAAAACTCATACTCAGTGGAGTTTTGAACTTACTTAGGAATTTCTTTGCTTCTCTATGAAGTCTTGTTTAGAACTTTTCCTATTTGGAATAACAAATCCTAACAGATCATAAAAGTGATTATATTAGGCTCTTGATAGTGGAATTAGGAATAACAGCAACTACTAGACTTGTCCTCCATCACCTAGCAGATTGTTCTCCATAGGAAAATAAAAAACCCTTTCTTACAAATTAATGAAAGGAAAGTTAATCCACCGAAATCCCTATCTATAAATTAGTTCGAAAAAATAAATTAAAAAGAAGAAAAATCTCTTGCGGAATAAGATAAGTTAGTTGCTTCCATTTACCTCCACTTGTATACCATGCTAGAGCCAAAGAAATCCCAATAAACAATGTCGACTCGAGATTGATATATTATATTTCTAACCACTATAGAATTTCTAAAATGAGAATCTATCGATTCATATAATCAAACACATAGCAGGCCCCAACTAGTTTGGGACTAAGGCTTAATTGTTGTTGTATATGATCAAACACATGTGTCTCAACGCATGAATGCCTGCCCAAGAATTTACAATACAAAAGTCCAGAGTAGTCACAGACTCATTTAAAGCTCAAAAACTATTATATCTAAAATGCAACTTAAATAAATTACTTGTCTGTTCCATAACTTCATCAACACCATTTCAAAATCAAAATTCAGAACTCAAAAAAAAAACACTAACCAGTAAGAGAAGTCCATAAGAGGACTTAGATTGAGCAAGCGAATTAACAGAGCGTTGAAATAGCCTATTAATTTGAGGATAAACCCTAGCCACCAAATCCTCAGAATTCTCTTGCTTACACAACTCGTATAATCTTTTAATCTATTTCAAAAACAATTAAACAAAACAAATGATTAAAACTAATCTCAAAGCCAACAAGTAATATAAATGAGTAAAGAGAGAGATAAGCTTACAGATTGGAGAAGAGAAGGATCAGAGGCAGGGTCACTGGCCAAATTGGAATCCCTGGCGCTACTGGACAGAGTTCGGAGATAGAATTCCCAGTCTCCTCTGTCTCGATCGGCCATTAATTCAATTGTATGTTTGATTTGGATTTGACTGTTCAATTTAGATTGATGATGACTATATGAGAATTCAATTCTGATCTTATTTTTATCACAGATAAAAATGCTTTGGATATTTGCAGAAATAAAGCAAAAGAGAGTACACGCACTCCGCTGGTCTATGTCTCTCTCAATCAGACAATTACACCGTAATTAAACGCACCGTTTCATCGTTGGTCGAGACACAACGGTGCCGGTCGAGCCGGTTGACTGTTGATTGCAGGCCGGTCCAAACCAGATCGGGCTCAAAAAAGGTTACCCCAGCTCAACGGGTGGGTCGAGGAGATCCGTTAACAGTTACAATTCAAATTTCTCAAACAGAAAGGCACATACAATACAACGTTGTCTTCCTGCAGCAATAGGATAGCATGTAAAATTGTCGTTTAAGGATTCGTTTCCAAGCGAACGACATAAGTTCGTCAAACGCCGTGGCTAACCTTTCTTGCTTCGTTTAACTTAATCGTCGTTGAGGATTAGAACTTTCCCAAACCAGACCAAGGCTAACATCAAGAAGCTACTCGGAGAAGCAAATACGCTCATATGATTAAAATTTCCCTCCATTTTCTAAGAACCCCATTTTCTTTTTCTATTGACGAAATCCCAAATTTTTCTTTCTTTCTTTCTTTTCTCATTGATTTATCAGATAGCAAACGCTTCTCACCATCAGGTACCTATATTTTTAACCTATTTCTTTTTTCTTTTTTTTTTTTTGACAGAAAACCCATTTCGTTAATTTGAATTCTCTAGTTTTATTGATTTTTTGCATTTTGATTTTGAGGGGATATGGTTGGGGTTGCTTTGACTATATTTTGCAATTAATAAATAAAAGAAATTGACAAAAGCCTAGCAATTGTAGAAACTAGAAAGGATGCCAAATAGATTAAGCAATATTAGGGATAGTTACCCATGATTGTTTTAATAGAGGGAATAAGCAAGTTTATCAATCTTTGGCTGTGAACAATATTACAGAGAGTTTGCCTGCAAATTTTGAGGAAAATGGGTATATTTCAGTTTGGTCTGAATTTTATAAAATACCGGGAATTTTTGTATTATCTGATGTTTAATCTTATTTTATTAGGGAGATTCTACTCTCATTTCACTACTTTCAAACCATGTCAATACTGCTGAGAATTGATTTTGTCACTATATCCAAACAAGCTTTACTCTTATATTTAATTTGACTTATTATGAACAAACAAAGGAAATTTATGTTTCATATTTAACTATGACACTGTCAATCCTTCTTAATATTATATGCATAACTTTTTTACTCAAACAGGTTGTGCGTTTGTGAAATAAAATCTGATCTTTGTAATCACATGAAAATCTTAATTTTGCGTTCTATACATGGTTTTTGTTCACAAATCTCATGATTATGCGTTTCAATGCCTTATTTTAGGGAGTGGTAAAGATTAAGGAATTATGGATGATTCTTTTTCACAGCCAAGATCCAAAAGGCAGAAGCTTTTCATAGGACAAGACGCTGGTCGTGGAAAAGATATAATCAGCAATTTACCTGATGACATTCTTGGTTGTATCCTTTCTTTCCTTCCAACCAAAGATGTCATAAGAACTTCAACATTATCAAAAAGATGGAAACATCTCTGGATTACCGTTTCTGACCTTGATTTTAAGAATAAGCTGGGGTGTAACTGCACAAGTAAGCAGACCGTGGAGGTGCGCTACAGCTTCTTGAAATTGGTGGACAGTGCACTTCTCTTTCGCGAGCCTTATTGTATAAGAAAATTGCGTTTGGAGCCAAGGATGCCTCTCAGTGGATTTAGTGTTAAGTCTTGGATGTTTCGTGTTACTATGTGGGTATGTGCTGCATTGAAGAACAAAATTGAAAAGCTTAATCTTTCGTTACATGAAGTCATCTTTATACTGCCTGATTGCCTTTTTGCATCCAAGTCGTTGTGTAAACTGAAATTGACAATGTATTGTGTTTTGAGGGTTCCTGGTTCAATTTGCTTCTCATGCCTTAAGACCCTACATCTTAAATACATAACATTTGAGGGCGAATGGTCCACCCAACAACTGTTTTTGGGTTGCCCTGTCTTAGAAAAGTTGATTTTATACAATTGTGGTTGGAAGAATATTAGAAGGATCAGCATTGCTATTCCTTCTCTGAGGACATTGATTATTGATTACGACTGTTCATACCCTGATGATTTTCTTGATTGTGTGGTTGAAATTAGTGCAGTTAATCTCACATCTCTTAACTGCACAAATTACTTAATTTTTGAACTCTCTCTTTGTAATCTATCATCTTTGGTCTATGCATATGTTGATGTTCAACTTTTCGGAGCTCTACACAACCTCAAGCTGCTTTACGTGCTCTAAAATTGCTTGGTGGACTTCAGAGTGTAAAATCCCTTACACTTTCGGATTATACCCTTGAGGTACATTAGCTTCCATTTTACTATAAACATCTTTTTATCCTATATCTTTCTTACAGCAAATTCCGCACGCAGAACCTTTGTGGTTCCTTGATTGCACTGATATTTTTTTTTTTTTTTTCCTTTAGTGTCTCTTATATGTGGCAAATATTGAGGATCATTTGCCAACATTTGATAATTTAACCCGTTTAGAAGTTCAACTCTGGTGTTCTGATTCTTGTATCAAAGCCCTGATGGATCTTCTGCAAAAATCACCCAATCTAGAATCACTGAACTTTTTTTAGGTGGGAACCCGATGCCAAAGTTCTAATTGTTTTTTACATATTGTTATGTATATTATCAGTGATACGAACATATATTTGTTGTATAGGAGTTTGACCCAAACATCTGCTTCATTGGGGAAGGAGGGATATCGAGTAATGTACCTCATTGTTTTAAGCACAGGCTTAAAACTTTTTTCATATCAAACTTTAGTGGGAATGCCGCAGAAATACATTTGATGAGGTACCTGCTTGAGAATGCAACTGTTCTAGAGCGTACAAGAATCGTTTGTGTACAGATGTATCAGAAGACCCGAAGAAAATAGAAGAGATCAAAAATCAATTGCAGAATTTCTCTAGGGTCTCAGCAAGTTGTGAAATTGAAGTATTGTGAAGCTGGTTTTATGAAATTCTATTCTGGTTTATCTACTTCAAAATCTTGAAATCTTGTGCTGGTTGTGAAGTTCATAATTGAACATTCTTGGCAGCTCACTCGATTGAGTAGTTGACTGCACCTCTTGTTATGGATCTGATGATTCTATCATGTATTTTTACATACTGATGCGTTTATTTCTCTGAGAAATTTTTGGGGAAATTAGTGAAGGTTTCGATGCAGCAAGAAATGGACTGCTCTTCACTGATAGAAATAGAGATTCAATTTTGAGGAATGCACATGCTCTGTTTTAAATAGCTATATGATTAAATCACAAAAATAAAATTCTTGAGTATTTTATTGGACTATAATTGAGGTAGTAAATAATTATTTAATTTTTTATTTTAATTTAATTGTTTATGAAAAGAATAAATTGTATTTTTATTGTTGTTGAACAATTTGCTTTGATGTTTGATAATGAATGTATTTTTAACAGCGTGTATGCATGGCTTTATTTTTTACGGCTTATTTTAGAGGTATCTGACGCCTCCTTATCATATTTAATAATTGTCGTTGAACCGGTTTGTAATATTATTTATGTTCCATAATATTTATCGTATTTAAAAAAATAACTTGTTCTAAAATACTTGATATGTTTGTGGTTTTCAAAAATAATAAATGTTTTTTTTTCTATGTTGATTTTTTGTATATGTCTAATAATTATTACTTTAATTTAATGATTTTCTTAGATAATTAGTATTAAATTAAGTGTAATGTAGTAAATTTACTCAATAATTTATTGTAATTTAGACAAATTTAATGATTTTCTTAAGAAACGTGAAATTCTAAATGTAACAATTATTATAGAACAAAAGTAGTATATATACGACATTCGTATTGTAAGAGGATTATCGACCTTCAACATCTTTTTAGCAATTACTCTCTCTGTTCTATAATACATTAATACTTGTCACATTTAAAATTTTATATTTTTTAAAAAAAAACCATTAAATTTGTTTAAGTTACAATAAATTATTGAGTAAATTAACTGTGTTATCCTTAATTTAATATATCTAAACATCAAATAATTATTGGTCAAATACAAGGGTAAATATGAAAAAAAAAATTTATTACTAGTTGAAACCACAAACTATATTTTTAAATGTGACAAATATTACGTAATAGAGATAGTAATTAGATGTGTATTTGTAAACTTTCTCTCTTTCTCTTTTAAAATCTTAATTTCGATGTAAATTCTTGTTTTACCTTTTTTCCCCCTAAGAAGTTGGATTTTTTTGTTTTTATTCATTTCATACAAAGTTGAGGTGATAAATGATTGAAAAGTTAATTTTTGTGCAAATTATATATCTCAAAATAATAAGTTTAGGGGCAAATAAAATAATATTATTTTTATATGAAATGAATAGTAATTTTTAAAGAGCAAACTATATAGTCGTACTTTTATATTTTGTCGAAATTAAATACTCTATTTTTATATTTACTTTAAATACACTACTATATCTTGTATTTTAGCCTAATATCCTTTCCCGTCCAATTTTTGCATTTTCAGCAAATAAATCAATATAAATTATCACAGTACGAAGAAAGAGGAATTAAATATATGTCAAAATACGAAAAGAAATATTATATAGTTATACAACTTGGAGAGAACAAGTTTCTTTTTTTTTTTTTTTTTTTTTTTTTACAGAAAAAGAAATATTATATAGTTATATACAACAGTTTGAGAAGAACAAAGTTTCTTTTTTTTTTTTTTTTTTTTTTTTTCTTTTTTTTTGGTAGCAGAACAGGTTCATACCTTTTTGCACTCTCCAAAGCAACAAAGTGTCGATGCTTTTTTTTGCACTTTCAACAAACATGTCCGCCGATAGACTCATCGACGGTCAAAAAAAAAAAAGAGAGGAGAGAGAAATCCATACGGCGCTCAAAGCAGAGAAAAAGAATAGAAATAAGTTTTAATTTGGGATCAGATGAATCTTATTTACAAGGAATTTAAAAGGATTAAATTTGACTTTTGAGTCAATTTAGACTATTAATTTATATCAAAATTATTAAAAGATTCAATCCTTTTATCTTTCTTAAAATACATTTATAAGCTCTTTAAACTTGTTTGATCTTTTATAAATTGAAATAAATTGATTGTAATTCTAACACGAATTGATCTTTTTTTCAATGATATTAAGAAATACTCTATCCAATTTTTCTAACGCGCCGCGCGCCCGCCGGCGCAAAAACAGCGCACGCACCGCCCGCAACCTCCGGGAATGTAGCGAAGCGCCGCGCGCACTATATAACTTACAATTTTAAATCCAAAAAAAACCATCAATGTCTTGAGTAATATAAATAAATTGTATTAAACCATGCAATTATAATTTTATATTTATTCAATCGCATGAAAAATGCCAATAGATCCTTCGATAAAGTGATAAGCCTAGTAATAGAGGTTATTTTAAATGTTCAAATTAATATATACTTTATAAAACCATCAAAACCATCAATTAAAGTAGTAGCCCAGCAGGACGAGATACACAGCATAACATATCCGCCTCAAGTATCGAACTAGTAAGAATTTTTCATTCAAACCACACGGTATCGAATAGACAGCCGCTTTCTAAATAAATTAGTTAGAATACGATCCCAATTATAGTGTTTCAATAAACCTGTCTATATAATCGATATCTTACATTGTTAAGGCCGCATAATAAATAACTTAGATATTTAACTAATTGATCAAAATATCAAGTATGATATTTTAAAAATCATTTTAAAATGAAGTTCAGGAATTAAATATGACTAAAAAGTGAAACCAAAATTTTTTACATCATTTTTATATAAAATTAAGAGACTACATTACATCTAAAGATTGAATCTCGCACATTTTTTATCCGTGCTAGCTTCAAGTTCATCAAACCAAATTGGCTTCTTAGAATTATACTATATACTATATATATAATATTATAGAGAGAGAGACAGAGCAGAAGAGAAGTTATAGTTTATAAGTTATACAGACTGAGGGAACAAAGCTTCATGCTCAGACTCAATATTAATTTCAAAGCGGGTAGCGATTAGCACTCCCAACCATCGACACACCTGTTTTTATTTAAAAAAAACAGCATTTTTCCCTTTTAGATTAAAATTAGATCAAGCACCGCGGATTTTCTTTTATTACTTAATTATTGTACGAATTATAAATTCATATTCAAGCATGTTACATTTTTTACTTGCTCCATACGACAACATAAAAATATGTTCATAAACAAAAATCCCTACAACGTTCAAAAAACTGAAAGAAGTAAATAAACTCGCAAGAATAAAATACAATAAAAAAAATGATATAATCATATATATATATATGATTAATAAACTAAATAATGGGGTAAATATATAAAATACAAAAGTTCTAGACAAGAAGTTATTTAGTTTACAATTATTTTTTTGTAGCAATTACTAATTTGGAAAAACATACTAACAAAAATCCTATCCATAACAAAGAATGATAAATAAAATAAATATATAAATTATTGATCAATGAAATGGAAGATACAAAATTAAACAATTCCTTCTAGAACTAAAAAAAAAAATCAAAATTTAAATATGGAATATGTTTACATTATATTTAAATTTTTGAAGTCGATCTAATAATTCAAACTTGTAAATAGATATATAATTATTGTTAATCAAAAATATTAATTCTTGAAAATTTGATTTCCCTTAAATATAATTTTTGAATAGTTTAGGAATAAAACAATCTTAAATTCACAAGAATATTGTTTTAACTACAAATGATAAGGTATTATTCAATTCACTTCTTTATTTCCTTAAATATATTCGTATTTCATAAAATTCTCTTTTATTATTTTAAAATAATATTTATTGAATATATATATATATATATATATATATATATATATATATATATATATATATATATATCATATACAACTGCCCAATAGTAAAAGGGATTTCTCGTTTTGAATATAGAATCGGCAATTCATAATAATATAATATGATAATAAATAATAAATAAATAAAAATTACTATTTATATGTTCCTTCTTCCCTCAATTTATTATTGTTATGCCAGGTTTAGTGAGAACTCCTCATCAAACTCAAAACTTCAAATCCCAATATCAAAATACTTGATGTATACAATATAACAATAAAAAGGGCATATATAATTATATTATAATTAACATGAATTTAAAATATTATAAATAATCAAATTTCCAAATATATATGTATATGAAGCAATAAAAAAATTTACAGGTTTTATAAACCGATTTGCTAAAAATAGAATAACATTAAAAAATACCATAAAATAAATTTATATTTAGTTTTTTCCTTCCATGTCATTACTTCCAAATTCAACATTAATATTTCCTCAATACCTGTAGCAATATGACAAGAATAATAAACGAAAATATTACTTAAATAATATTAAAAAAAGACCTAATAGAAAAAGATTAAAAAAAAATCAAAGAGTTAACAAGAAGAATAACCCAATAATATAAAGAATAAATAAATAAAGCACAACCAAAACTCAAAGAATAAAAAAAAAAAAAAAGAAGGAATCAACTGCTAAAGAAAATAAAATACTTTGAGAATTTGATTAAAATAATGAATATATACATATATATATATATATATAGAAAGAAAAAAATTCAAAGGAAAAGTTTCAATTTCAAAACTTTCAAAACAGCAAATTCCAAATGTTAATAAAAAATTTCAGTTTCAAAAAATTCAAAAATCTTAAAGAATTAAATATTTAAAATTTAGACATGTGTGAATATATTAATATTAAGATTATAGGAAAGAAATGGTCTTTAAAAAAAAATTTATAAAAAAAGAAAAAAAAAGGAAATACTCAGAAATGAGAGAGTGTCAAGTAAAATCTTTTGAAGTTTTTTTTTGGAAATTCTCTTTTTGATTCACGATTATATTATATTGATGGACAAATTTCCCCTTTCATTTCATCGGAATAGTTCTGTGATGCCCTCTTTTTTCGCGTTTGGAGTCTCTCTCCATCCACGGCGCCTCTTGTCTTGTAGTCCGCTGCCTAACTCCTCCTCTCCGCTTGAACGAACTTAATTTCAAACACTCAAATGAGGCCGAAGCGGGAAACCTAAGTTTCCTGAAGAACGGATATCATTACTGAAGGGGATTGAGGCAAATCGGCCGAGAAATCATAGACGGCCAAAGACAGTTCAAAAATACTCTTAAGGTTCCTCCTTATTGCTTTATTCCCCCTTGTCGAATTGAGAGTTTTTCGGTTTGTGGCGCTAAGTTATGAAAAAAAAGCAAAACCCTAACAACATCCACACACCAAAATTCGACTCAACGCCACTGGACCTCAGAGAACAGAGGTCATGAGAAAAGCCTTTCTAGTTCGTC